CCCCAAAACCCCAAAACCCCAAAACCCCAAAACCCCAAAACCCCGGAGAATTTGTTAGGCTTGATTTTAAATTCCTAACAATTATATTTTATTTAAATTTTATTTTTACATAAATATTTTTCATAACATGGTAAGCTTTAGCCCTTCCGTTATGCCACCAGGTGCATGCCTAATCTGTCTAATATAGTACCATTATCATCACAGACATCCACTGGAGTCAGACCAGAAAGACATGTATATCTCAGAATTAAAAGCTGAGAACTTCGAGCTCAGACACAGAAATGGCTACTACTACGATATCAAAGACAAGATCACCTCTACCGAACACGAGATAGCTATTGTCAATGACGATAGAAGAAGGATTGAGGAAGAGATGAGACACAGGAAACATGAAGACGAGACAGTCATCAGAGACATCCAAGTTGATAATGACAACCTTAGAGGTACAATTTCAGCTAGAGATGCAGAAATAGAAGATTTGAAAGCCCAAATAGAAGCTCTAAGAAGACAAGACGGAGACTTGACTATTGAGATTTCAACCTTTACTAAAGAGAATGAAGGGTTGAGAAGAGATATCGATGGCCTTGAGCACCAGCTTGGAGACGAGAGAGGTCTAGGCAGGAAGCTTAGAGCTGACCTTGATGCTGCCAAGTCATCTAATATTATTAAAGATGATGAAAATAAAGCTGCTTTCCAAACTATCTCTATTCTTGAAGAAGATTTGAATAGAAACAAAGCTAATGAAGGTGACCTTGGTAGAATTTTGGCAGATAAAAATGCTGAACTTGCTGATAAGAATGCCAGACTCAATGCTTTGGACAATGAAGTAGCTAAACTCAGAGCAGATATTGATGCTAGAGATAGAGAAGCTAGCGATCTCAACCATAGATATGGAGTTCAGTTAGACTCAACTAACAGAGAAAGATGAGAGTTAGACAGACAAATTTCTAGAAACGCTGACTTAGAAGCTACTGTTAGAAGACTTGAAGATGAGCTTAGTCTTCTTGAGAAAGACATTGCTGTTGTCAGAGAAGATGCTGAGAGATTAAGAAGAATCTTTGAAGATGCTGATATGGCTAACAAGGGGCTTGAAGATGAACTCAACGCCTTGAACAGACATGCTCAACTTCTCGAGAGTCAAAATGTTGACTTGACTAAGGAGCTTGACAACATTATCATCACTGACGAAAGAGTCAGAGCTGACTTAGATAGAAGACACAGAGTTGCTGAATTACAGCATAGAAATGATGAAGAAATCAGAGAATCTATCAACAGATTAAGATACACAAGATCCATCAGCCCTCACAGAAGCATTTCTCCTTGCAGAAGAAGCTGTAGCCCTTACCGTTGCTAAGTTTTACCATGATCTAAGATATATACTACAAACCATCTTATTTAGGAAAATTAAATCCAACGATAATTTAATGAAATGGGGTTTTGGGGTTTTGGGGTTTTGGGGTTTTGGGGTTTTGGGGTTTTGGGG